TGGCACTTATTTAATGGAAGTTGATCGAGTGCTTAGACCTGGTGGATACTGGATCTTGTCTGGTCCTCCAATCAATTGGAAGACATATTATCGTACATGGAAAAGGACAAAAGAGGACCTGAAGGCTGAGCAATCAAGGATTGAAGAGCTGGCCGAATCCCTTTGCTGGGAGAAAAAATATGAGAAAGGAGATCTTGCCATCTGGAAGAAAAAAATAAATACCAAGTCTTGCCAAAGGAAATTTGCGAAGTTTTGTGAGTCATTGGATGCTGATGATGTGTGGTGAGTTAATTGCATCTAAGAGTTTGAAGATAGCTTTCCATTTGTACTCTCCCACGTCTGGTAGAGCATATCTGGCTAATTTACCCTTGATTGCCCAAGAATTTTTGTGAAACTGTTTGTCCATGACTAGTGATAAAATCTTATTTTGTTTTTCTTAATTCTTGTGGAATGATTGTGATAGGTATAAGAAGATAGAGGGATGCGTAACTCCCTTCCCTGAGGTGAAGAGTGCCAACCATGTAGCTGGAGGGGAGTTGAAGAAGTTTCCAGCTCGTCTTTATGAAGTTCCACCTCGTGTAGCTAATGGAGATGTTCCTGGGGTCACGCCTGAATCTTACGAAGAGGATAATAAACTTTGGAAGAAACGTGTAAATGCTTACAAAAGGATAATCAAGTTACTTGGCACCAATAGATATCGAAACATAATGGATATGAATGCTGGCCTTGGAGGTTTTGCTGCTGCCTTGGAATCATCAAAACTGTGGGTAATGAACGTTGTGCCGACTATTGCTCAGAATACTCTTGGTATCATCTATGAGAGAGGCTTAATTGGCATATATCATGACTGGTACATACTTGACTTTTTCACCTTTTCTATACTAAACTGAAAATCCAATATGCAAAAATGAGGCAAATCCCAGACTTGGATCTTAAATACTTAAATCTTTTTCCAGGTGCGAGGGGTTCTCTACTTACCCAAGGACGTACGATCTAATTCATGCTAGTGGAGTCTTCAGCCTGTACCAGGACAAGTAAGCGAACTCAACTCTAGCACTATAGGCAATGCATAATTGTTTAATGGTTAAAGTTAGAAATAATTTATTGATTTTGGCAGTAACATGAGAGTCGCTTTTAAAATAAGTAACTTTGATACTTAAAAATAAGAAAAAAGTAACATAACAAAATATGTTTCGATACAAAAAGTTACTTAAAAACTAACTTTTGCATTTTTAGTTTTATTTTCAAGCTTAGCCAAACCTGCAAGCGGGTTTTCCTCTTTACCACAGTTGTAATCTATGTATGGCTTTGGATTCATTTTTATCATTGCTGCTAAGTCATCTGAAGGAACTATTGTTATAAGCTCTGTACATTAAGTTGTTGAACATGTGGTTGACAGGTGTGAATTTGAAGATATTCTCTTGGAAATGGATCGTATTTTACGGCCCGAAGGGACTGTCGTTTTCCGAGATGAAGTCGACGCCTTGAACAAGGTTAGCAAAATTGCCAGAGGCATGCGATGGGAGACGAAAATGGTGGATCACGAGGATGGCCCTTTAGTACCTGAAAAAATACTTATCGCAGTCAAGCAATATTGGGTTGCTAATGGCACATCCACAGACGAATGAATGCCTGAGTATGCAAGTGAACTCACAATACAATCGTAATAGATTGTAAATTACATTGCTCTGTTTGAAGAAAATATAAAATTTTAAACCATCAGACATAGAACGTGCAAGTTTGTAATGTTGCATTGCACCGCTTTTGGTGTAAGAAAAATTGTTATATATGGAGGGAATGACAAGAAAGAATGAACAGATCTCTTCAAATAATACAGGAAAATTTCCTGTGACTGTTAATTTTAAAATGACGTTAGTGAGGATTATGCTATTTATTGTGTCTTCTGCAATGTATTTATTTTCCACGTTACAAGATTAAAAAAGGTTGAGAACGATACTCCAGTGAAAAATAGTTGAATACTTAAACATGACGAGGTCCTTATGTGGCTCAAACTCGTTGGACTCTAAGTTAGGGAATCGTTGTCACTTAGGTCGATGTTGATTCTTTACAAAAAGAAGAATACTCCCATAATCTTATAAGCTCATGAATAATGTTTTTATCACACTATCAGTGATGATCACCCACTGGCTTATTGTTCATTGAACCTAATTCCAACAAGTCGACTAGTTGAGGATTCATGTTATTTATCACCACTTGTGATAATCACTAGCCTATGTGGCATTGGAACTCCATTGAACAATGAGGTAGTGGACCTATTGTACCTTAAACCAACGATCATCACTGGTGACTACAAAATAATATTATTTGTAAGCAGTGCTTACAAATAACATTATTCGTGATTATAAATAGTTGTACTTAGTCCTAGAGCCAAGAAAGAATAAACTTGTTATGTCAACGTTTCACTAACGCTGAAAGAAACTAGAAATGTAGTGGTAGCAGCCGGAAAGAAGAAGCATCGGAATGTTGGGTTAAGAATCCGGTGGTTGCAGTGAAAGATTTAAACGAATATCAAGTTACTACTAAACCTTGTGGATCAGGTCAAGAATAGTAAACTTGAGGTGCCTCATTAGTACAATCCGTGTCCTGTACAAAATAATTATGAGATTAAGGTGTCCACTAAATGATATGATCAGTCACGGACGCAGAGATTTTGGGTAAAGAGAGTAAAATCTAACTAATATCATATCTCGCGTAAAAAAATGATGTAAATTATATTGAGAATTGTCGCGCAAAAATAATCAATGTTAATGAATTAATTGAAATTTTTTAAAGAAATGATGAGTTAGGTGCCTCTTTTTAAGACGTTCGTTTGATGCACCTTTAACTATTTTCGATGTTATGAGTTAGGTGCCTCTTTTTAAGACGTTCGTTTGAATCACCTTTAACTATTTTCGATGTCTACTTGGATCATTTGATATGACTATGATATAGTTCTCGAAATGAGATTTGAGATGATGACGGCGATTTGTGGATTTGGCTAGCGTGCAATTGTCGAAATTTTTTTAAAATTAATATGTTATTGAAATTCTCAAAAACTAGTTTGAAACGGTCTACTTTGACAAGTTATAAAATTTGCTACGATTGACCATTGCGCGCGCCATTAATGACGTAAAAAATTAGGTCGTGAGTATTTCAAAATTGTATTAAGAATATAATATTTTTGACTTCGTTTGACATCATGTAATAACTTTTATAATTGAGACAAAAATAAAGAAATTTTTTTTTTAAAAAAAATTTTTAACTATTTTCGATGTCTGCTTGGATCATTTGATATGACTATGATATAGTTCTCGAAATGAGATTTGAGATGATGACGGCGATTTGTGGATTTGGCTAGCGTGCAATTGTCGAAATTTTTTTAAAATTAATATGTTATTGAAATTCTCGAAAACTAGTTTGAAACGGTCTACTTTGACAAGTCATAAAATTTGCTACGGTTGACCATTGCGCGCGCCATTAATGACGTAAAAAATTAGATCGTGAGTATTTCAAAATTGTATTAAGAATATAATATTTTTGACTTCGTTTGACCTCATGTAATAACTTTTACAATTGAGACAAAAATAAAGAAATTTTTTTTTTTAAAAAAAATTGCCCAAACGTTGGGGGTCACGCCCCTTGTACGCACTGGCGGACCCAAATGGGGTCATTTGGGGTCAAANTTTTTTTGAGTTTTCCTCGAGTTTTTTTTTCTTTTTATCTCCTAAACATTTTTGAATTCTCATTTTTGACCCCACAAAAAAAATAGTCTTGGTTCGCCCCTGCTTGTACGAAGTGTAAACAAATATGAGATTAGAAATGCAATTGAAGAACATTTTTCATTGTTTAAACTCGTATTCATAAGCATAGGCTTGATCTCGTGCTCCCGATCGGTAAGATAAAAACTTCCAACTCGTAGTTAGAGAACAATACTTGAGGAATAAAGCATTGCTTTGAAATAAAAACCTAGGCAAAGAAAAACTCTAAAACCTAAACACCCTTGCTTAACCGTGAAAGAGATAAAATAAAGAATTCTCCTAATGAGATATGGCCACATCGGCCATGTCTCTTCAGGGGTTGCCACATATTCGTCCATCCATATTTATTTTTTTTAAATGTATTTTTACTTATTTATTTATTCAATCTGAACCCGAACCTTCCATTGATGCAAGCCAAGCAACTTGGCTCGCACCGTTGCCATGGCTAGGTCTTGTCTCTCTTGAACGTTCCTTCTTCCTAAAAGGTACACATTTTTTCTTAATGCATTGGGGACAAAAAGGTGAAAAACAAATGGCTATTACCCCGGAAGGAATAAGAATAAGGAAAGTTTCAGTTTTAGTCCGCAACCTTTCTCACTTATAGCAACTTGGTCCTCAACATTTTAATATTGTTGTTTCATTGGAAAGATTGGGGACTAAGTTGTGAAAGTGCTAAAGGTTAGAGGCTAATTTTTTGCAATTTTTTTAATAAAAGCACGTGATTAAGAAATTTCAACAAGTAGGAAACAAAAATTTATGAATAAAGTTACTTGTACAATCTTTGTTGACAATTCATGTATTGTAAAGATCCATGCTGTTAATTTAAAGAACAGTTTTTAAAATGAATGACGTAGATTCTTGTCAACTCATGATTGTCAGCAAAGTTGTGAAACGTGATTGTACATGTAGTATGATTCAAAATTTATAGCCATTCACATGCCAAGGCCTACATTCAAGTAAAAAAGACCATAATTCAGTTTTAAATTTTAAGGCCTTTTTTGAGATTCAGAGCACTCATGAGATGGTAACGAATCAGATAATTCTATTTTCAAAACTTCATATTAATGATTGATATACATTGTGAACTTGAGAACAAATTTTCTACAATTATTTGTAGTTAAATTGCTCAAAGATAATAATAGTTGCTTGAATTGCTCAGCCGGGAGACTAGAAATTTGAACAAAAGAGATTCGGTGTTGAGCTTGAGAGACGAGGAATCTCCTGTTGTGCTCACGAAGATTTTCAAGCAGGAATCTTATGAAGCCAGTTCAGGTTTTTATCTTCTTTTACCACATTGATCTCCAACTTATCTAGATAATCCTTGTAGAATTCCCACAAATAGGCTGTTTCGTCGTCACATATCACACGTTCTAACTGCACAAGATCCATTACTGAAGGCGGCAGCTCAGATAACGCTGTGCAACCCACCATGCGTATTGTTTGCAGTCCACATAAGTCACCTAGCTGCTCTGGCAAGTGGTCCATTACCACACAGTCCGACAAATCAACGAACCTCAGTTTACGGAGTCCAGAAATTGATTCTGGCAACTCCAGAAGTTGTGTGCAAGACTGAAGACTCAGCACTTCTAAATTTGTCAAATTTTCCAGTTCTGCAGGAAGAGTAACCAACTCTTGACAGTATCTTAAGTTGATCTTCTTAAGATGGATAAGGCCGCAAAACCATGCTGGTATTTCAACTAAGTCATCACAATACTCGATATTGATCTCATTGAGAATTGGCCATGTATCAGAGATTGAAATTGTGGATACTTCGAATGCCTTCCCGATTTCACACATGACCATGGATATTTTCTGCAAATTTTTTAGCTGCAGTATGGCAGTAGCAATAGAAGGGATGGAAATATTCTCCAACCTAAGTCTCTTTAGATTGACAAACTGACTAGGCAGCGGAAAGTTTTCTAGGTATGCTCGGGTGAAACCATAATTTGTCACTAATAGAACTGTCAGGCGGCTCATTCTCTCCATAAATGGGGGTAAGGCATAGATTTTGGTTTGAAAGTTCAGTATTAAAACCTTAACATCAGGTAGTTGCACGTTAGACCAGTTTGAGCAGAATGCTTCATCTGCAAAAAGGAGGGTAAAATTATCTATCAAGGAAGCATGGGAAGAGGATGACAGCATACCATACTATAATTGAAAAGAGAAAATAGAAAGATTACTAACCTGTATAGATGGACAAAATGCGGGCATTGATGGGTTGCTGCTTTCGATCAGTTAGCCACTCAGGGAATGCATTCCCATTTATTTCCACAACGAGTCGCTCTCTCCTTTCTATAGAACCTTGTCCACTTTGGTGGATAGCCAACTCCCTCAGAAGATCATGTTGCATCACAAAATGCCCTTTGCAATAGTCAATGGCATCCTGATCATCTTTTCTGAAAACCAGAATGAGATGAGTTGATCGACGAAATTTTTGTTTAAGAAACCTAGAGAACAATGTTATCCAATAACTAGAAATACAATTATTTTCATTTGAACATATGCAAAAATAATGGTATTAATATAAGGAACTGTAGTTGCTGTAGCAACCGAAATTCTGAGACACGCCCTCTTATGTATATTTGCACAAATATTTGACCTTCAGCAACGTCCCTTGGAGTGAAAAAGGAGGAAGTAAAGGGAAAAGAATATCCCATATGACAATATGAACTAGGCAGTAATATAATTATATTGTTACAAAAGATATTAAACAGAGAAGCAATATCACTGAAACACTTGTGCTCTGCTGGATAATTCGGGATTTATATTTTTCCTTTTTCTACACTCACGAGGGTAGGGATGAGGACAGAGGATGGATCAAATGAACTGCATAAAGGTTAGGTCGCTAGCCTTGCAGTCACATTATCTAAGTTCAGTTCACATTCTTCTTGTATTTCTTTTGTTATTGTAGCATTTTAACCTGGATAATTCTATGCCACTTCCAGATTGTCTTCGTTCCTAATATTTGCTCTCAACAGGTGTGACTTCCACTTTTGCATAAATACATTTTTAACCTGGATAATTCTATGCAACTTTCAGATTGTCTTCATTCCTAGCATTTGCCCTCAACAGGTGTGACTTCCACTTTTGCATACATACATTCACTTTTTGTTTGTACTGATGACAATCAAATGTACAACGAGCATCGTCTCTCCAAATGTGACATCTCTAAAGATGAAAAGATATGTACAAACCTCACAAGAGTAAGATTGACCAGATTTCTGTTTGAGAGTTCATGGAGATAGACAAGGGTATACATGCCACCTTCATCTAGGTTGTACAGTTCCGCCCAAATATCCATGAGAGCTGCAGCAGGGATCCTTTGATCTTCAGGAAATAAACCAAGATCTAAGAAACAATTCTTGAGGGTTGCCATTTCATCCAAGGCATCTAAGCTGGTTTTGAGCCGACTAAGAAAAACCTTGTTGGTGTCATAAATGGATTGCCCTTGGGACCAATCATGAACTGTACTAATCCACTTCACCTCAGGCTGCCTATTGAGTGACTTGCCAATAACTTTAAGGGCCAAAGGAGATCCTGAGCAACCTCTGACCACCTGCCATGCTATTCCATGAGCAACATCAGTTAATGTTTCGAGTGGAGTAAATAATTTCTACAAAATCTGTTCAAAAAATGTTTTACATCTTAACCTTAACCAAATGAGTTTTGACATGAAAAATCGTCACTCTAGGTGGAGCTCAATGTTTCAGGTAGAGTAAAATGCTGTATAACGTGATTTGAGCCGCACAGAAAAATGAACTAAGTTCAATATTGATGTACCGGAAGACTGTGCGTGCATCAGTAGAGATAATGCTTTTACCTCTTCTGCAAGATGTTTTTGCACAGTGCAGATCCCATCTTTAAAGGCATAATGATGAAACAGAGTCATTGCATCTTGATGATTCAACATATTTAATTTATAAGTCCATTCAAATTGTGGAAAAACGAATCTTGATGTAATCAAAATTTTATATCCAGGTATTGGAAGAAGGAACTGCTCAATGAGTGACTCGGACCATGACCATATATCGTCCAGGACTAATAGTATGGGAGCTGGTCCTATTTCCTGCAGGAAAAACTGTTCTAGTTGGTATATAGCATCTTCATCGCTTTGAAAGATAGGCACCCCCTGGTTTTTGTTACTCTGAATCACTTTTTGAACTATTAGCTGGAGGATAGGTGATCTCGAGACAGTCTGAAAGAAGATATTATTCCCATATATACCTAAGCAAAACTTGAGATAATCAAGATACAAGATCATAATGGAAGGTTTTGCCAAAGTTCAAGGCATAAGATTCCGTCAGTGATACAGCAACAATTATGCATATCTTTCTGATTAAGCATTATTCAAATACAAGGAAGAGTATTTCAATGGAGTGAGCTCGCATAGAACAAGTATAGACTGCTCTAAAAATTAACCTGGACAATTTTGATTCTTTCTGCAAACATAGTACTGATTCGTTTTGGTTCTTGTTCAAACAATCTTCCTGTAATTTCTTGTTCTTATAAAGATTAAAAGCACTTCACAAGAAGCACCAAACCTCTTAATAGAACACTATTTTCCATTAAGCAGACTGCAAGTATTCGAGAAAGTGCCAATTACAAAAAGAAAAAGAAACAAAAATAAAAAATCCGAAACAATAGACTCACTAATACCTTTAATCTCATCATCATTACAGAGCAATTTTGAGAGTGTAGTCTTGCCGCAGCCACCAGGAGCCGAAAGCACGACAATTGGCACTCCATCCTTTAGCAGCATCGCCTTCAGTTCCTGAAGCTGCACGTCTAATCCAACCACAAAATCCGGGACTCCCGGGACGCCACACCAGCCTGAAAATCCATTTTGTGTAAATCAAACCACAATGTAAGTTTTAAGTACTTATTCATACTCACAAACTAAGTACAATTTAGGAGGGAGAAGAGTACCTGAAAAGCCATTTGAGTTAACACTACGATCATTATCTCGGATAGAAATTATTTCATCCATTTTCTCCTCGAGAACTTTTACTCCCATAGAAATACTTTTGCCATCTCTAGACAACTCAGCCTGCACATTTATCTGAAAAAACCACAACAACGAGCCTTGAAATTTCGCCAATTTCTTCGCGTACGAATACTTCTGAAATAGATTCCACCGATTGATTTTCAAGCACTTGTGAAGGAGCATTTCACCTTGCTCGAACCGATTATTGAGCGTCTCCGCTCCTTCTTGTCGGCAGTTTAACACTCTGTTCAGCTCCTCTATGTCCTCGATAAATGGCTTAATTAAAATCAGAGTTGATTTCAAGTGGTTCAGCTCGGACCTGAAACTTGCTACTTCCGAGGATACGTCTGAAACAGCTCGCATTAGACGATCAAAAACTACCCCTACAGCAGCCCCTCCGAGCAAATCCGCCATTCATGCGTAGAAGGGAGCCCTAATTGAAACCTGTTATGGGAATTGAAAGGAAGGAAATTCTGATCAAGGAGAAAGAAGATATAAACCTGCAGCAGAACGGGAAATTTCGTATATTCTTCGTTTTATAGAATGTTTGCCCAAGCTTAAAAGCAGATCAAAAGTACTTTTAAGTTTGAAAAATGAGTGATAAATAAGTGGATATTACTTATGAGCCCTCGAATGTGTGATTGAGTTTATAGTTTGACTATGAAAATTACTACTAAAAAATGAAACATAAACAGATGCTTAACTTTTATTTTTGCATTAATAGAAGATTAATGAAAAGAATATAAAAAAATTAAAGATATAAATGTGAATAAGTGAAGATTATGAACCTTTCATGTAATGAAATTGTGATGCACTTATAAATGAATGTTGCGTCTAGATTTTTATAGATTTCGTTGAAAGTTGATAAAATGTGTGCTGATAAGTTAATAAAGGTTACCGTCAAATATATAATTAAAATTAATTTTTAATTTTAACTGAAATTTTGATTTTTTTTTTTTTTAGCTAAGTCAAAATATATTTCCATTTTCATGTAGATAAAAAAAATACAAAATATATAGTTGAAAGAGTAATTATACTTTTATTTATCTTAATACACACCTGCATTAAATAATAGTAGTTCGTATTTGTTATGTCCTTGTAACAAGTAGGGGCCTATTAGAAAACTAATAAATCAACTATATTCTAAAATAAGGAAAACGACCAATAATTTGAGACATACGAAGAAAGTAAATCTATCTTTATGAGACGGACGTAGTATTTATGAAAAGTATTTCTTCACCAAAAATAAAATTAACTTTCTTCGAGCCCCAGTTTTTCAGAATAAATGTTGTAAAAAGAATTTTTTGGAATAATGTAAGTTTAAAAAGTAAGGAAATTTTTAAGATTTAACGGTAAAATTATTTTATTAGGATAATATTTGATTGAAAATGAGTTTAAAAAAAACGAGTTTTAAAGAATGGGACTTGAACACAGTCTTAATAAATCGAAAAGGAAATCCAAACATACATATACTACCTCCTTCTCGTAAAGATATGCTTGATTTTCTTTTTCGTGTCCCCCAAATTATATTCCATTTTTTATTATTGAAAATGTAGATATTTATTAGTTTTCTGATATGTCCATATAATATACATTATTATAATACAAATTATTTTTATTTGAACTTTTATTTAACGTGGAGATATATTAAAAAGATATAAGAAAAATTTATATGTTCAATTATATTAATTATATATATTTTTAATCTGTATGAAAATAAAAATAAGTTTATCTTTATGAGATGAAGGTAGTAATAAATAGTAATTTACATTTTTAAGCTAAGCCAAACTTGCTTAGTATACTACCTACCTATTAAGTGATATTTAAGTGCAGTCGGTTATTTATTCTAAACTCATTGAGCCTTGTTTGGTGACGATTAAATTTTAATTTAAGTCAAAATAAAAAAATAATTTTAACTGCATATTTTATGAAATTCTCAATTTTTTAATTACATATTTTAATATTTTTTTATCAAAATTTACCAAAAATATAATTTTAAAGTCCAACCGACAATGGCTAAACCGAGTCAACTGCGCAGCTCTGCTAGCTTTATTTACAAGGTTGACTATAGACTTTTTTAATTTTTAATTTGGAGGTTTGTTGCCAAACAGTGTTTAGGGCCTGTTCGGTACAGCTTAAAATTCAATTAAAATTGAAAATATGATCGTTATTGGGTCCCACTCGTCTAATAAAAGTCAACAATAACAGCTAGTTTTTCAATTTTAATCCAATTTTAATCTCTATCGAACACGCCCTTAATTGGTTGGTGATGTCAGTTAGTGGAAAAGACTTTGATTCATTGATCCGGCCAAGTGGAGAGCCGCAATTAAGCGGGTAACCAATTTTTAATTGGTCAGTGACACGTGATTCAGTTGACTTCAAGGTCATTGCCCCGCCCCATATTTAAGAATTACTTTTATAGGTTCCAATGATTCCACGTTGTTTGCTATGGAAAATGGAAATCACAAGGGGAAGCGTTTCCAAGATCTTATCTCATCTCATAAATCATAGATTATGTTAATAAATTCAAAAATCAAATATATTTAATTAATGAAATAGGCTACTTGTACATAATGCGGTGTTCATAACGATATCTATCACCTCACATGAAGGGAGACCCACATCAAATAAAATATAATATATTCGAAGTGGTTCCCCCTCCATGTGAGGGGGTGGACACCGTCACACTGTTATGGACAATGCATTATGTACGTGTAGTATCACCCTTAATTAATTAATATCTATAAAATAAATAATTTTACTAAATATAACAATTCAAAAATTAATTAATCTATCCTATATAATTTCAATCACAAGCCCTAATTATCTCACTCTCTTCTTTCTCTCTCTAAACCTCTTAATTATCTATTCTCTCCTCACCCTCTCTCTGTCATCTCATTGACGATGAGGGGCCCCTCATTGCGAGGCACGGTGCAAGCGACGATCTGTTGTAGAGATATGTTGCAGCAGCGATGCCCAAGCCCAACCTTGAGCGGTGATGACATTGTTCCTGTGCGCTATGAACGGCTGCAGCAAGGGCTAATGTGCATGGAACTCGCCCTTCTCCTTCTTCTTTTTTATTACTTTAATTTTCAACTGTTTGTTTGCTCTTTTGCGATGATTTGTGATGTGGGGTTGGGAGGCGATGGTGAGATGCGGTGGACGGTGGTGTTGTGGTTGCTGTAGTGGTAATGTGGTTGCTTGTGGGTTCAGATGGTGTGGTTGATGTGGTAGTGATGTTGGTATTCTGGTGTGATGGTGGTGTTGTGGTGGTCATGTTGGCGATTTGGTGTGGTGGGGTGATGTTGGTGATTGTCATGATGGTGGTGCGGTGGTCATGGATGAGATGAGATGGGTTGGGTTAGGTGTTTATGACTAATTATTTGATTGATTGTGATCAATAAATAATACGTGACATAAAAAATATTATTGTGACTCACATTTTATTAAGTTGTAATCGAAAAATAACTTGTAACTAATTAATTTGATAATTTGTGATCGTTAAATATGTTGTGATTTATAAAACATGTGAATTGCGATTGATATATAAATTGTGACCTATAAGATTTTTTTTTTATTTTTGATCGATGAATAAATTGTGACTTATAAATGTTTTGATTTGTAACCATGAAATAACTTGTGACATATAATTTTTTTAATTTGTGATAGAGAAATAATTTGTTATTAATTGATTCGATAATTTGTGACAAAATTGTATAAAATTGTGATTTTAATATATGTAATTAGTAAAATATATTTTTATTTAATTATTTCATAAATAAAATTTAATAACATCCGATTTTTGAATTTGTAAACCATATTTCTTAGTTTTGAGATGGATCATAATTAATCTCTTAGATATGAAATTTTTCATTTTATTCATATATCTGATCCGAGTAAAGAGTTTCTATTTAAAGGTGCAATACGTTTTTTTGCGTTGCTCAATAGTTAGTTCGATGAATCTTAACCCTTGGATCATATTTGATCTGCAGCTATGGATCCTCTTTTAAGTAAGATAAAACCCTAATACGTCTCTCACTTTCCACTATCATTTCTCTCTTGTACCCTTTTTTCTCAGTTGCTCTTAGTTATCTTTGTAAAATCCTTTTTATTCTCTTTCATTCATTGTGATTGATTCTCTTGATATTTTTGTGGATTCAAGGGTCATGTTCCCTCTTCTTGAGACATGAACTGAGCAGTGACATTTAGAATATGAAATTGCAAAATTCGGGTGAAACTGAGCTACAATTCTTTTGCCTCTACTGATGTCAAATCTCACTTTGTATCCGATTTTATGCAAATTTGGTTTGTTCTTTGTGATTGAAAGTTCGATTTTGATGCATTATTTGTAACATAGCATACATGAGGGGATAAATTTATAGTACTCTACGGATTCAAGCCATGCAATCGAGAAATGTTCATATTGGTACTTTTAGTTTACAAAGACGAGGTAGGAGATGAAAGGGACTTTTCAAGTTATGTCAATCGTTGGAACAAGAGACATAAGAAAAAACAAGTCTTTCAAGATTTGGGAGTCTTAAAAATGGTTCAGGAGAATAAAGTGAAAATGCCATTTCTATGGGGCTATGAGTAGGCCAAGCATTCTTCTTATAGCTCGTGAAGGAAAAGTGGAGAACTCAGGTAGCCGGAGCCGAGAATGAAGAAAGAATTTTTATTCTATCGACGAACCAATCTAGACGTAGAAAGGGAAAGCAATATAAAGAGGTCTCCCTTCCGGCCTAATAAACATACTAATAGTCACCAGATTCATGTGAGCTATTGAAGAGTAAGCTATGATATTCTTACGGTAAAAATTGAAAGAAAGAATCCCTTAGCCATAGCCGTAAGGAAAAAATGACACGACATTAATGGCTTAGCCTTTCATCCGCCTATCATATTGGCTTGACTTCATCCAAGAAGCTACTGCTTCCTCTTCTCTATACATGAGTGATAACTCATGACTAGATCTTCTGTCACTATTTAATTAACAAATGTATTGAAAATTGGGTTCCAAATATACACATATTAATTAAATAGTGATAGAGAGTAGCCACGAGACACAAAGTCTTCTATATAGAATTAAAAGTCGAGACCAACATGCAAGTTGTGCAATGCTCACACCATAATGCAGAAACTTTGAGCTTTTTTACTTGTCATAATGTTAGAATGGCTTCTTTCAAAATAAGGTTAATTGATGGTATCGCAACTGTTATGAACCAACCCGATATCAAGAACGTTTTGATATCACTTGTTGAGAACCGACCAAATAATTAAAGATGAAAATATGGACAATATGAAATTTAATGGATCACACAACAATCAAGAAAATTGTGTAAAATGAGAATTTATTATACCAAAAAATTAAACAATTGTCTTACAAGATTTTGATCCCCTCAATCTAATATAAACAATTC